CTCCTTTCCTCAGCACACACATACACACACACACACACATACACACACATACACACACGTAGAGAGAGAGAGAGAGAGAGAGAGAGAGAGAGAGAGAGAGAGAGAGAGAGAGAGAGCATTTAAAAAAGAAAAACATTTATTAAAGTGCAGCTTTATTGGAACATTTATAAAATAAAAATATTTATAAAAGAATAAGTGCGGATTTGTTGAAACATTTATAAAAGAAAAATATTTTTCTGTTGTCATTGAAAGGAACAGTAATAAAAGATCTTTAACAACACACGCACACACACACTGTATACTTTGAGCAATAACAGACTTGAACAAGCATTCCACATCATCAACATGAAAGCCAAAAAGTTATGACCTCCAACCAAAAGCAGAATTGCAACTCGAATCACCCCTTGGGGCCCCCACATTTATGCCTGGAAGTCTGTTGGGGCTCATTGCAGGTTGTAGCCTCGCACAGAGAGAGAGAGAGAGAGAGAGAGAGAGAGAGAGAGAGAGAGAGAGAGAGAGAGAGAGAGAGAGAGAGAGAGAGAGAGAGAGAGCATGTACACCGTTGTCGAGCGCTCGAACACCTAAAATATTGTACATACTCCGTGCAATGACGGATGTGTAGAATTAATCATGATATACATAGCTTGTGCATCGAACAACTGCATTCAACGCTGTCCACTACCAATGTCTGTATCACCGCTGTCCAGCATGGTCTCTGGTGCGCAGTCAAGCCATGTGTGAGCACAAAGTATTTCCTCTCCTGTTGATAGTGTCGGGTGCAATGTAGAACCAGAACCGTTGGCTACAGCCCCGTGCAGGAGGCAACTAAGGTCCAGGCTCCACGTAAGTGATGTTGCAAGGACAGCCTCTCTGTTGACCAAGACAAACCATGACTTCCCCATACGTGACCATCTTCTTCCGTTAGAGCATGATCTCATAATGGTCGTCAGTGCTGCATACTGGAGTGCGCCCTCAGGTGTTGCCTCCTTCAGCACGACACGCAACAGTAAATGGGGATTAGAGAATACACGTGTCAACCTAAGAATCGCATGTGCCCACCGTTTTGACGCTTGTCCCCCCCCTGCTTCCATATCCCAGTAGGCATCATATTCCTCACCCTCCTCGTCGCTGCTCACATCGCTGCCACTCACTTCCACCTTATAGTTAGGCGCCCTCGCATTTTTTTCATTATTCCTCACTCTTGTTTCTTCAATGTCATATTCGAAATCGATCAGTAAAGAAGAGTCTTCGAACCCTCGTTCCCGTTTTTGTTCTGTCATTGTCCAGTCATGGAACACATCTTCTTCTTCTACCTCCTGCGTGGACATTGTGTTTATTGGAGAACGCACGATGGAGACTGTTCTCACAATTTCTTCCCCTGCTGAAGTGTGTCCATCTGCTGCATGAAGTGCAACATCTACTTCCCTGGCCACCAACTTCCATCGTTCTTCCCTTGACCTATTTCTGTCCACGTCAAAAGTCGCAATGCTGAGGCGATGCAAAGTTGCCATAAATATTTCATCCCACAATGGAGTACCACATACGACATCCTCGTCCACACTCCGAACCCTGTAGTTAATGAGGTCCTTGCCCGCCAGTGCTTGCTCTGTCACATCATGCAATGCCTCATGTATGACATTCCGATCGTCAGGTTTCTTTTTCATGAAATCCACCAGTTGGTCGAGTAAAACATACTCCACCCTGTTTGCGATAATTACTGGAAGATCTTGGAAGTCTTGCGGGGGAGCTTGCGGTATGTCCTTCAAATGCGAGAGTACTAAAATTTATGTTGCACCGCTCTTCATCTCGTCCTTAGAATCTTCAACAAGCATTCCCCATTTCTTCGCCTGTGTCATCACCGTCTGCTTGAAATCCGTTGGCATGTATGTTCCCCCCTTCTGCTGCTTTATCATATCCACGTCGCCTTCATCGGACATCCCTTCTGTGCACATCCAACCAACCACTTTTCTCAAACTGTATGCACTGGTATCAGCATTGTTGTCTACACGCAAATCGTGTGCCTCAGTGAACCGTGCCAATAGCATCCGTGCTCTGAGCGACTCCTCTCCGTTCGCAGCGATGCTTGCACGAATGTTCACTCTGACATCGAAGTAACTCGGCACTCTCTCCGTGAGTAGTTCAAACTCCCCGTCGTCATCGTAGTGGATGCCCTCCTCCGCGTATTGCATCACCTCTTGAAGAGCTGCCCTCGCCTGCGCCGTTGACATCGACATGATGGTTGTGCTTTTGTCTATGTGTCTGTAAGTGGAACGACAAAATGATGATTTCAAGCTCCGTGAGGGTTTGTTTAATGTTGTTTGTGTGTCCCTCTGCTGGAAGTATGCGGTCGTTCGACGCTGCCAGTCAGTACACGGATATCATACGAGGGTTGGCTACTGGGTGCCATTTTTTCTTCGAATCAATGACATCGAAATGAATCTGGCACGCAGTAGTCAACTCCTCCGACCCTGCTCTTACTCTCCGCCCAAACCACTTCCCAGTTGTGTCTAACAGTGGTAGGGGGTGTGGCGCGGTCCAATGACATGTTCCCCCCAACCACCCCCCCCCCCCCTCCTCCCCCCCCCCCCCCCCCCCCCCCCCCCCCCCCCCCGAATCTCGAAACACGATGCGTCGATGACCACCCAATCTAAGTCAAAGTCACTGTGACACCCCTAGCGTCCCAAACGTGTGACACATTGTACGTATCACAGGGCCCAGAACCATTCATTCACAAAGCCATGGAGGGCAGAGTACAACTTACCTTAGACGGAATAGTCCTCTGCCAAGATCGTGTGTGTATGTGTGTGTGTGTGTGTGTGTGTGTGTGTGTGTGTCCGTGTCAGTGTATGTCCGTGTGTCTGTGTCTGTGTATGTGTATGTGCATGTCCGTGTGTCCATCCGTGTGTATGTGACATGTATGTGCGTGTGCGTATGTGTGTGCGTGTGCATCTGTGTATGTGTTTGTGTGTGTGTTTGTGTGTGTCTGTGTGTGTGCATCTGTGTATGTGTCTGTGTGTCTGTTTGTGTCTGTGTCCGTCCGTGTGTGTGTGTGCATCTGTGTATGTGTCTATGTGTGTCTGTCTGTGCGTGTGTATGTCCGTGTGGCTTCTCTACATCAGTGCCCTGAGTTCAAGCGCTCAGTACCGCAGCACAAACTCCTGTCCGTGTGTCTGTATATCTGTATGTCCGTGTGTCTGTGTCTGTGCGTGTGTATGTCTGTGTGTATGTATATGTCTGTGTATGTGTCTGTGTCAGTGTATGTCCGTGTGTCTATGTCTGTGTGTGTGTCTGTGTATGTGCATGCCCGTGTGTCCGTCCGTGTGTGTGTGACATGTATGTGTGTCTGTGTATGTCTGTGTGTCTGTGTATGTATGTGTGTATGTAAGTATGTTTGTGTATGTCCGTGTGCCTGTGTTTGTGTTTGTGTCTGTGTATGTTTGTGTCTGTGTTTGTGTGTATGTAAGTGTGTATGTGTGTGTGTATGTCTGTGTCTGTGTTTGTGTCTGTGTCTGTGTCTGTGTATGTCCGTGTGTCTATGTATGTATGTGTGTATGTAAGTGTGTCTGTGTATGTCTGTGTGCCTGTGTATGTCCGTGTGTATGTCCATGTGTCACAGAAAGTTACGGAATGTCACAAACACGGGAAGCATGATAGTCACTTCCCGTCACCTCCGTAGACGTCATGAGTGTGTTTTAGTTGGGAGTGTGCATGTAGTAGGGAGAAGAAAACAAACAGAGGGAGAGCAGGACATGGGAAAGAGTTATAAGGTACGCAGGCAACGATACCTTCGTCGACGAAAGCAATGGCGTACACTATAGACTGAATGCTTGGGAAGATGCAGATTTTGGTTGGAGAATTCTGCTTCGGTGGTTCAACCGTGCGGCACATAAGACAACACAAACAGACAGAGAATTAGTGAACAATGTGTCACTCACACTCACACAAACTCTACGACACACACAGACTCTTGGTCATTGATGTGTTATGAACATGATTGGCTACTGCGGTTTTGCCAGCCCTCACTCACATAGACTCCCGTTCACGCTCATACATGCAGAGAAGGAAGGGGAGAGGAAAGTAGACTACCACAACGCGGAGAAAAGAAAACGCAGTGGCCGGCATACAAAAGCAAAGTGACAGCTTACAAGTGCAGTCTGACATTAAGCAGAATGACGTCACCACCATCAGACTGCAAAAAAGGAGTAGATGTCGTTGACCACAAAATAGAATCAATCATTATAACCGGCGCTGTCTGCGCTCATCATCAACAACACGAATTGCGAAGTCCAGGTAAGAACAAGTCCTCTCCACATATTCTCTCTGCTGTGTATCGAAACAATGGCAGAAGTCTTTACACCATGACACGCAATTGTGTTCACACCATGCATCGTCAACAACTGGAATGACCACAAGTCTTCACTGTTATAAACTTGGTTGCCTGACGAATTTATCGCCACTCACACACAGACAATCTCACACATGACCATACATGCATAAGAGAAGCGGAGAGAGGAGACAGAGTCCACACTGCACACACGTGAAAATAAGCAGCGGAAGACAGACATGCACAGGTGGGGAGAAGACACGCAGTGTTTCTCACTCTCTGACACACCTCCCAACAACCAATCACAAGTAAGAACCTGCGAAGATCACAATTGGAAAGTTCACTGATGATGAGCCACTCATACAATTATCGTAACAGAGTTTGTTCCAGTGTCTCGCCACACTCATAACTCACACGCCGCTCTCTATCCTACACCCAGTTAGTAGCGCTGCATCAGAACAGCCTCCCAGAGGCCAGCGCCAACCACCCTAATGAAGAACAGGTCATGCGATGAAGTCTTCAGTGCCGATGGACAATTCTGACCAAGGAACAGGCAGCTATGGCTGCCACCACCCACGAACCACCACTGTAGAGCATCGGTCCAGCCCGGCCATACGCAGATACCCCCAGGGGTAGATGCACTGAGGATGCCTGAGCTATGGCAGACTCGGATGTGGCCGGCTATGGCTGCTGTCACGGTGCGTCTCAGGATGCCGCATGCAGACCAACACCGCCACCAACTTGCTTGGATTCTCCAACGCTGTGCGGCGAGAAATGAACTGCGAAAAGTCCTCAACCGGTGGGCCTATCCTATCTAGCAGCATAGGCCACTTAGGGCCTGTCTGTCCTAGGGGTAGCCCGGGCCCGCTATAGGCAGTTAGGGTAGCTGTACGAATTTGGTTTGTACCGGGCCTATATTTTCCCGGATTTAGAGATCTGTCCCTCACGAATGTCCTTACAGGCAGGACTTTCGGTTAGCCCTCAGCCAAATAAATTTACAGCCTCGCAGTCAATCAGGTCATGCACCACACAGTTGCACAGCTCATGCAGCACACAATTGCACAACACACAGCACACAGCAGCTCATGCAGGATCGCCAGTACGCAGCTCATGCAGCATACAACAAGATAGCTAGACCGTTGTTGGCCCCATACACAGACAGCACACGTCGTGCACCGGCGACAGTACACAGCCCACAACACACTACAGTACACAGTACACAACACACAACACACTACAGTATAGCCTCTGTGCGCCAGCACAGGCTGCAGAAAACAGCAAGTCAACAACAACGTGCAACAGTCAACACCGCACCTACACACTCATACACATTATATTTGTGTGTCTGCGAATTGGTCTCAGTGCACTCTTCACTGTGTTCTTATTTCATGCTTTTTTTTGCTGCATTGCCTTTGTGCGGCGCTCCTTTCCTCTTCGATGACCCCGCAGGAGTGTCACCGCCTTTGCAAGCTGCTGCTATCTTCAGAGACACCCCCTTCCCCCTCTGCGTTTCTCTCTCCACCTGCCTTGCAGCATTCATCTGCCGTAGCTTTTCCACTCTCTTCTCTTCGTCGATAATGCCTTCATATTTGTATTCCCAGTGAGCCTTGGCCAAGTTATCAACCAGCCTCAGGTCCTTCAGTTGGATCGTCACCCTCTTGCAGAGGATAGCAATGATGTTTGTTTTCTCGAAATGGTTGATTAGATATGCTTCGGCCGCTTCCAGCAACGCACATATGACGTTCATCTGAAACCTTATAGATTGCCCTGGTACGATTTCTTTCTCGACGACCTCGCGCACGACCCTCATGAACGGCCTTAAAGCGATGCACAAGTGAGTAGATCGTTGGAGTTGCCGAATTTCTGCCAATGCTGCCATCCCTGCGCGGCGCCTGCGCTTTGGAACTGAGGCAGCGGCTGCTTTGGAAGTCTGCCCTCGATCTGGAACATGTTTATCTTTGCCTTTTGCTTTTGTGGAATTCCCGAGTCCACGAGGCGGCCTATATGTGCACAGCTTATTCTTCTTCTCTGCCCTCCCTATCACGTGCTCCGCAGGGGTGTCACCTTCGTCGGGTTTTGCATTAGAACATCCCCCATCATTTGCTGTTTCCGGGTCGTCGACCTCAGTTGGCAAATTTGAAATTTCTTGCTGCTGCTGTGTTGTTGGTTGTGCATTCGATGCAGCACGAGCATCGTCATCACCCACGTATTGAATGTGTCGCAGCAGTCCATCTATATACGTGAGCTGGAAAGGGACACCCAGAGGGTCTCTGAATCTCATGCACATCTTTCATCATGGTCATATGTCATGGGACAGACGACAGGGACCCACCCAAGAAGTGATGTGCACCCGTGTCTGCGTCAAATGCCCTCCAGAAACATGTCATCCGTCGAGGGTCGTGCTTGCTCGGTGCACGAGTCTTCCACGATCGACCACATCGCCTGGTCATTATGGGAGTCATATCCCATGCACACCATCTGTCGTTCTTCCTCCCTTATCTTCTCCCAGCAACGCTACGCGTATTTCTCCAACAATCCCCGGTCCTTCACATGAGGATTGCAAACGGAGACACGTGTCACCACCACCAAGAACTGCCAATGCTCCACAACGCCAGCATGCATCCAACCCAAAGGCAGCCACTCACCAGATTGCATTCTTGCTGCCAGTGTCACTTTGCCATCAA